GAGAGAGAGAACAACTTGGCAAAGTGCATGCCCTGTCGTGGTTTTTAGTTCCGCCGCTTTTTTTTTTTTAAATTATTTTAACGGTTTCGATTGTTAACAATAGAATTTTTTTTGCTAAAATTTCAAACCTGTACAATTTTTTTTCTAAAATAATTTCTTTTTCTCTCACGCGGTGTTATCAACCAAACAAAAAAAGGTTTCAAATTATTATTATTGTTATTATCATTATTATTAACAAGATCGAACGTGACAAAAAAAAGAAAAAAAAATGTTGAAAAATTAAAGTGTTATTGACGAAGGGAATTTTAAAACATTTCCGGCTGTGCAGTTTTGATTTTTTTCAAAGAGAGAGAGAGGGGGCGAGGGAAAGAGGAGAGGGGGAGGGGATGTTTTTTTTCTTAAAAATTCAGTGAACCTGTGAAAACTTACACCTACAAAACAACATATAAAAAAAAAAAAGTAAGAAATGAAACAAGTGTAGTATTAAGCTTGGGATAAAAGTGCGACACTAAATCAAAACAAGTTGACAGGCATCTAAAAGGATTATATTTCAGGGGCGACCCTAGAAAGGGTGACTTTTACACAAAAAAAAAAAAACTAACTAACTAACTAACTTGAATGAATGTCAACACTAAGAAACAAACGGAAAGAACGAAAGAGAGATAAAGAGAGATAGAGAGAGAGAGAGAGAGACGAGATATTAATTTTTTTAACGTGTCCAACAAACAAAACTTTTACTTTGATATATTATTCAAAATATTTTTTCCTCTCCTTTTTATTTTTTTTTTAGTATAAAACTTTATTATTAATTAATAAAATTCGTTTGTCTGTTTGTTTGTTTGTTTGTTGCAACGTGACAATTTTAAAACGATATTTAAATAATATTATCCGACAAAATTTTAAAATTAATAATAATAGTAAGGATATCGATATTGATAAACTTAAAGAATTTATTATAAAAATAATAATAATAATAAAATCATTATAATATCTTGTCGATTAATCGATTTTATCGATCCGAGATTATAAATTTAAATCGTAAATTATCGATTTGGAATTTTACGACGTTGTTCCAGCAACAAAAAATATTAATAATTTATTTTTTATTTATTTATCGGGTTATGATTCGATGAAAGTGAACGAAAGCAAATTGAATTTTATATACGTGGGTCACATAATATATAATAATAATAATAATAATAATAATAATAATCATCATCATCATTCGCCGCCGCCGCCGCACGAGATACGAAAAGATTTAAATCCTAATAATAATAATAATAATAATAAAATTTAAATAAAAATAAAAATTTTTTTTCAAATTGTTGTTTGACTTGTTTCGTGATGATGGATAAAATGTGATAAAAAATTACTTTAATAATAATAATAATAATAATAATAATAATAATAATAATAATAATAATAATAATAATAATAATAATAATAATAATAATAATAATAATAATAATAATAATAAAACAGTGGCAGAAACAACTTGAAATAAATTAGTTAATTTAAAATATATATATTAAATTTCATAAAATTCCCTTTAAAAAAAAAAAAAAAACGTGTCATTAGAAATGTATAAAAAAAAAAAAATATATGATCTTGTGACTGTGGGTGTTAAGACACGCGTTAGACAAAGTAAACAAAAAAAAAATTTTTTTTAAATCGTGTGAAATTTTTTTTTATTTTTCGCACGATCGATCGATCGATTGATCGATACTATCGATTGTTAAAATAATTAAATTTAATTAATAATAATAATAATGTAAAACTCACCTTCTCTTCTCATCCCCATTTTGAGGCACTTCTTTAATCTACAATATTGGCATTGATTCCTATGATGTTGATCGATCGGACAATTACGATTTCCTCTACAAGAATATGTGAGATTACGTCTGACGCTTCTTTTAAAAAAGCTTTTACAACCTATAAAAAAAAAATAATAATGATGATAATAATAACATTACGTGTATCTCTCGTCCCCCTGTTCCCACCTCCCCCGCCCCACAAACGAATAAAGATTTTTTTTTAAAAAAAAGAAAAGAAAAGGGACAGGAAAATGTAACATCGATTAAAAAAAAAAAAATGAACAATTCGTGCGTATCTTTCCATGAGAATGACCCACGCAACAACCACAACAACAACAACAACCACAATTTTTTGTAATTATTTATTTATAAAACCAGGTAAATTATTAAATTTTTATCCATATGAAATTTACTCATCAAACGATTTACTTACTTATCATGTATGAAAAAAATTAAAAAAATGGGGGGAACGTGGGGGCGGGGGAGGAGAGGAGGGGTACATTCGTACATGCGTATGCGTGCACGCGTAGAATAGTTATACTAAACATTTAAAAAACAAAACCATTTTGTCGTTTAAGACTCGCATTTTAAATTTCTTTTTTTTTTTATTATTATTATTTCCATTGTGTTTGTTTTCTTAATATCTTTACTAAAAAAAAAAATTTGTCGTTTGTCGTTTGTCGTATGTCGTCGTCGCAGTTTTTGATCACAATGACAGAAAAAAAAAAAATAAAAAAACCAAAGGGCATTTTTTTTTTAAAAAGTTCCCACTTGTCAAGGACTTTTTACAAACGTTCTATTCCCACGACGAAAAATTTTATTTTTTATTTTTTTTTTGTGTGTGTTTTGCGACAGGGAAGGATTAAGGAAAATCTCCCGGAAAATTATATTTTTTAAAAAAAATAAAATCAACGTATTGCGAGACACTTAATTTTTTACTATTCCACACAAAACAATAATAATAATAATAATAATAATAATTTTTTTAAAATTTGAAAATCCGTTTAATATTATATTTAATTTATATTTAAATATCTAATGAAAATATTTAGATAAGAAAAAAATATCAAAGGAAAAACCTTACAAATATAATTAATAATAATAATAAATTAATAAGAAATGCAAATGAACCTGAACTTGAGAGAGAGACACAGAGGGAGAGAGAGAGAAAGACTTTTTACCGCGAACTTAATTTACCGGAACATTTAAAAAAAAAAAAAAAAAAAAAACGGATTATGTGGAACCGTGTAAACGTGAGGGGTTAATTGAACCTGTTTCGTGCCGTTAGAAGAATAAAAATAATAATAATAATAATAATAATAATGATGATGATAAAATAACAAACCGAACGACAAACGCTCGATAAATTTGTAATATTAACAATAAATCGTTGTTTTTAAAATCATATTTTTATATCTCACAGGTTTCGATAAAAATCATTTCCGGTTTTAATGCAGGTAATAAACGAGACGAAAAGGAAGTAAACAACAACAATCACGACGACGACAACAACAATCCGGATCGTAACAAACGATCTAAATAATTTTAAAATCGATTGATCGCTTCTTTGAATTTTTTTTTACAATTTTCCGAAAATTATTATCACTTCATTTATAACTTGGCATGTTGGCTTATATTTTAAAATCATCATCATCATCATCATTATCATCATTATTATTATTTTTATTAATTTCAATGCCAACAACTATCCTTTACCCTTTAGGACATAATAAAGCTTTGAAAATCCATTTAAATGTCAATATACATTTTAAAAAAAAAATATATATATATATATATATATTTTTATAAAAAAATCTTCGTGTATACAAACGCAAACAAATAAACAAACGAAAACATTATTAATTAAGGGTTGGTTTCCTCTTTCCGGAAATAGGAAAACATTAAAACTTTTAAACGAACACAGGAAAAATCGTTTTAAACCGAAATGTGTGTGTG